TGGTCATCACACTTACTGAGGATTGTGCAACACCACTCATAAGAGCTAATGCGGACATGACAGACGCGCTCCGTACTATTGCGGTAATGCAGAATGAAATGGATCTCTCCGTCCTTTCCAATCAAATGCTTGAATCATCGGCAGCTTCCCTCCGCACAACCTCGTCTCAACACGATCAACTCTCCAGCTACATGACCACCTCTAAGCACCTCGTCACCGCCTTGAGGAATCTCACGGGCTTGACTGTGTTATAATCATATCTGCATTTATATTATTTCTCCTCGTCGTCAATATGATTCTGAATTAGCGCGTCGTGGATCGAGGGTTGAGGATCACTTTTTGGTGGACAAAGTTGATTGCACACATTCAGGGTGTGGATGGGGATGCATGGTCTCTTTTGGCTACAGAAGAGCCGCAACGGAAACACCGTCCCAAGAAGGGGGAAGTCACGAGGCCATCAGGATCATTACTGTTGATTACCGGGGGATCTCAATGAAGTGACGAGCGGTATATGGTTCGACATTCGTTATTGTGAAGCGGTGGTACTTATACAACCAATTCTATGTCATGAGCTCTACACCTACAACCACACTAGCTGTGCTCATGCCTCCACCCCAATCCTATTTCCTTGGTGATTGGATGGCCTGGCAAAGTGATGTCCGTAACAGAGGTGGTAGGTGACAACTGATGGCTCTGCACTTGTTCCAAAGCTTGCTTTGCATACTTCTCAAGATACTTGAAGAGTCTGTTTTTCAATCTGTCCTCGAGCTGTTGTAGCACGGCTATATCCAGGCCCGTGGGAGGTGCCCATGAAAAAACAAGACCACTTGTTCCAGGTAGGCTGAATGTTTGGTTATTCTGTCCCATTGCTTCGCCGAGCTCTTTGCATAACCAGCAACATTTTTTGGCCACACCGATCTTGTTGGCATCCTGCACATGAGTGATCATCAGCAAATACCACAATTTAAAAAAAATGGAGAACAACCTTGAGGATATCAACAAAGCTTGAGGGTAACTCAGTTGCTGTACAGGAGGCTTCTTTGATAAATGCCATTAATGTGGCTTCTGCATGAATCACCCCGGTGAATTTGCCACCAAACCTTTCCAAATCCTGGAGACTTTCTCGGATAACTGGGTCATCGGTGAACTCATCCAACAAAGCACTGGTTGATGTAACTGCTTGGCACTTCTCACTTGGAACCTGCATCTTGACAATGTTTAAGGACATAATCCCTTTCAATGACCTGAAGAGTTTGGAAGAGTCTAGCCATGCATAGGCCTGATTCCAAGCCACGATTGCACGGAAATATCGCATCAAAAATTTTCCAGCATCTTCATGGTCATCAACACCGATGTCAGAGAGGGCATCGGATCTGTCATCAGACTCATTGTCATCATCTGCATGCACAGATAGGTTAATCCAAAACCATCCTTGCAAAAAGGTGCTTACGTATATCATTAGTGTGGTTACGTATATCATTGATTGCATATCCTACATTGACGTTATCCTTGAGAAATTTGACCAAGCCTGGAAGGGTCAGGATGGCATCGTAGTAGGAGCCAAGGACATAAACGATGCGGTGCAGCTGCGCCAGCTGGGTGTAAAGATCATGCCACTCTGAATCATTGCTTGGGCACTTCTGTGTTGAGGCCTTGACAGAGCGATAGACTGAGATGAGGGCTCGGATCCATTGGGTGCTGAGCTGCT